AAAAAAAAAAAAAAAAAGAATTTGAGACCTGCCCGAGCTCAGGAGTTTAAAACCAGCCTGAGCAAGACCCAGACCATCTCTAAAAAACACATGCCTATAGTCCAGCTACTGGAGAGGCTGAGGTGAGAGGATCACTTGAGCCCAAGAGTTTGAGGTTGCTGTAAGCTGTGACACCATGGCACTCAACCCCAAAGTGACTAAGACTCTGTCTCACAAAAAAATAAATAAATAAAAAAGAAGGAAAGAAAGAAGAGAAATAAGAAAAAGAGAGGAAGAGAAGGAAGGCTAAGGCTCTATTATAAAGCAGTCATTCTACATAACAGAGAATCTGAAAGAAAAAAACATTTATTTGGAAATGGGACATCGCTATGAAATACATTTGCCGTAGTAAACTATGTGTGTATTAAGGGAGGGAAAGGAAGGCAAAGATTTTTTTGAAGGAAAAAATAGGAGGATTACATAACTTTAAAAATGATCATCCTTGGCTACAAGAATCAATAATAACAAGAGTGATTCATTTCTGAGACTGGACAGGCAATTGCTGGGCAGATGTCCTTGGCAAAATATTTTGTGTATAAGGTTGTGATGGCCTTTAAGTAAGGTTGTAGTTTTTGCAGAGTCTTTTATAATAATTTTACCAGGCATGCAAGTTAAGAACTTCCTCCTCCCCTTAGCCTTACCTGTCTCTATTGTCCAGGTGTGTTTTTTCTTTCTTTCTTTCTTCCTTCCTTCTTCTTCTTTCTTTCTTTCTTTCTTTCCTTCCTTCCTTCTTTCCTTTTCTTCTTTCTTTCCTTCCTTCCTTCTCTCCCTCTCTCCTTCCTTCTTTCCTTGCTTCCTTCCTTCCTTCATTCTTTCTTTCTTAACATAAGTGACTCCATTTTGATACTGACAACTTTCAGATTTCCTTTTTTAGATCAAGATCTTTCCCTGAAAGCATCACTGATCATTTTGTGGTTAGGTTTTGATGTCCCTCAATGCCAGAATGATCCTGTCCCTGGTTGATCTCATCCCACATTGAGAGATGTGATTGGCAACTAGGTATCAATGTCAAAACTCTTTTAGCTGTGTGGCGGTGTGGCTCAGTGGTTAGGGCACTGCCCCCATATACTGAGGGTGGAGGGTTCAGACCCCCAAACTGCAACAAAAAAATAGCCAGGCGTTGTGGTGGGTGCCTGTAGTCCCAGCTACTTGGGAGGCTGAGGCAAGAGAATCACCTAAGCCTAGGAGTTGGAAGTTGCTGTGAGCTGTGTGACACCACGGCACTCTACTTAGTGAGACTCTGTCTCTACACACACAAAAAACTCTTTTAGCCACATTTGAGCAGTAAAAGATGTTTGATGGAAGTGGCCTTCAGGCTAACTCAGCCTGAAGTTTATTATTAAGTTCAGTTTTATTTATTCTGTAGTTTTTGCTATCATCTCAAAGTGCTACCCAGCATTATTTTGTTAGGAGTTGTATCTGCAAAAATTTGACAAATAATAGATAAAAGGTTTAAGAAGGGGAAAATACAAAGTAAAGTGATAACATCTGTTAGCCTAATAATTTTGAGCCACCAACCTAGGCTTAAAGACAGCCACTTGAATATTTCAAATCACCACAGGTAACTGGGTAAGAACTGTTGTAACCATATGGCCTGTTTTTTTATTTTGTGTATATGGATCTCAACTTTCCCAGAGAAATTTGTGTAAGCACAACACGTATTAGGAATAGCACATTTCCTTATTTCATCAAAGGAGGCTAAAGCATCTCTAAGGTCATGGTCTGTCAAATTCCTAGCAGAAGCTACTAATTGAAATTTCAATTCATGTGCCATTATCCTACCAAATGAAACAACGGTAACATGGGCAGGGGGTAAGACTCCCATTATGATATAGTCTTGTTCAGTGTCTTGAGAAAAGCTGTCTACAGTGTGAAAATGTCAATTTCTCATCCTGTTTTGCATTTTGGTTTTTGCTTTTCTATGTTTCTTTCTTTCTTTCTTTCTTTTTTTTTTTAGTTTGAGATTAAGGGTACAGTTAGGTTACAATGTATGTCTGCATTTGTTAAGTCCCTGTTGTAGTTGTGTCCCTCACCCAAGACACATACCCTTACGTTGTGCCCATGAGATGGGAGCACACCAATCCCTCTCTTTCCTTCCCTCTCCCCCCAAGCTGAATTGAATTGAGTTTTTCTCTTGTGTGGGCACATATCGATTCATCTACTGGCTTCATATTAGTATTTTGAGTATATTAATACTTGCTTTTCCATTCTTGTGATACTTTACTAAGAAGAATGTGGTTCAACTCTATCCAGTCTATGCATATTCTCAGATATGACGTTTCAGTCAAAGCCTTAGTAATATTTGGCAATGTTTTCCACTGTATCCTGCCATAACAAGAGAAAATATTTTTATTGAAATTATGCAAATAACCATATTGTCATAACAATACTCAGAAATAGTTTCCAAACTTTGGGATAATCAAATAGGGAGAAAAAGCAAATGTTTCCACCTTTGTTCACAAAAGTATACCAGATTGCTGTGAACTATAGAATGTAAAAGAGAAGAGGTTTTTTGTTTGTTTTATTTTTTAGAGATAGAGTCTCACTTTGTCACCCTCAGTAGAGTGCTGTGATGTCACAGCTCACAGCAACCTCCAACTCCTGGGCTTAGGTGATCATCTTGCCTCAGCCTTCCTAGTAGCTGGGACTACAGGCGCCTGCCAGAATGCCCAGCTATTTTTTGTTGCAGTTTGGCTGGGGCCAGGTTCAAACCCACCACCCTGGGTATATGGGGCTGGAGACCTACCCACTGAGCCACAGGCACCACCCAAGAGAGAAGAGTTTTTTAAATCTGGAAAACAAAACACATAAGTAAAGAAGCAATAATGTTTCAAATGGAAATCGTAAAAATGTTATCTTCATCAGTCTTATGTAATTAATGTTTGTTCTGATTGATCTTGTTTAACAGTTTTATGAATTCATCATTTCTTAAAATGTACATGAGAATTGGCCATAATATATAGCCAAATAGAGTCCCAGAAAACCTAGCATGCTTTAATGTTTGAGAATCTAATTACATTTCTTATTAATCTCCCAAGAGCAAAGAAAATCCTATAAATCCTATCAGAGAATGTCAGAAGTTTCGACCAGGGTTTTAGATGGGAGTAACTACCTTAATGACTTTTAATTTGGCCATCCTTAATCCATCATTTAGAATGTTTATT